CTATGCCAATTGTCACTCCACTTTCAACCAAATGACCTTAATTGTAGCCATAGCTCCTCACCACCATGAAGCTCCTGAACACCACTCCAAAACAAACCCCATCCAGGTTCACTATCCAGCATATGACCATTCTCAAATGCCTTGTACCAGTGGGGGGGGGGATATAAGCAATACTTTAGGGAGAAGCGTACATCCAGCACAGAACGGGAACATCGCTGGATTGCTGGAGCTCAAACTCAGAAAGCTCTAGCCCATGCAAGTCCACCACAAATCATTTTGGCTTACAGGAAATCCATCACAACCTTAAAGGCTTTATTCGTGAATCTTTAACGAGGGCAAGTGGTGATTCTTCCTTTCGTTGTTTTATTTTTCTTTTCTTCTTATTTCAACATTCCAAGCCCATACAGTAGCCCTCAGTGGCACAGCGGTATATCTGCAGACTTACAATGCTAGAAACCGGGTTTCAATACCCATGGTGGACAGAGCACAGATAGCCCATTGTGTAGCTTTGCGCTTAAATACCAGAAATAAAACAAGCATCATACTGTGATTCAGTAAATGTTCATCAGGTGGGCTTAAAGTTTTAGTGTTTGTTACATCCTTAACTCATTAGTTATAAATTCGTTCACAGAAGCGTTTTGTGCGTGAGTAAAATGTTTATTATATGACCTTAAACCTTTGGAAAAACAATGGTATTATTGGTATTTGTAATGCACAATTAGTCCTACAATAGAACAATGTGCAATTTTACTGTTATACAACAATTAGTCCTGCAATAGAACAATGCGCAATTTTACTGTTATACAACAATTAGTCCTGCAATAGAACAATGTGCAATTTTACTGTTATACAACAATTAGTCCTGCAATAGAACAATGTGCAATTTTACTGTTATACAACAATTAGTCCTGCAATAGAACAATGTGCATTGAAAGTTTTTCGAGAGTAAAAACAGTAAATAAATGCAGTAAATTCTCTACTTCTATCTAATGAATTATCACAGTTAGCCCATGATTTGATATTCCAATGTCGTTCTATTCCACGGGAAACATACTTTTCCATGACCACACTCTTAGTCTTAACTGCGCACCCATGACGATTTTTACCATGTGTAGCATCATTCATTTTTTTAGAGTCGATCTTAAGTGTTTTACACGTAAAATCCGAACAAACGTTTATCATTGCAATTTACGTATATGTGTTGGAGGTATGATCTAAGCATTAATTTACATAATGTACATTTATATATTTGTAATGTCAGTATTGTTCTAGTTATTCCAGCTGTCGTCAACATCTCACCAGTCGTTGACGTCGTAGACTTACTAATCACAATTATGCGCTAGTTCTATAAATTCAAATATAGTGGATTAAGCGAAACGTTTGAAAGAAATTTGCTAATCCCTAGAACAAAGGAAAGTAAGAGTTGCAAATCCCTTTAAATTCTTAAATCTTTTTCCTAGCAGTCAAAAAATGTCATTTATTTTGTAGTCCTTACATCTACTGACTTCAGCTGTTTTAACTCTTCAGATCAATATATCTCAATACATGGGTATGCAGCCTCACGTGTACTGTAGAAGATTCAATATATGCATCATTGTGTATAAAGATGCACAAATATGTATATGGGCCCAGGCATGGCCAGGTGGATAAGGCGCTCGACTCACAATCTGAGGGTCGAGGGTTCGAATCCGCATCCCACCAAACATGCTCGCCCTTTCAGCCGTGGGGGCGTTATAATGTGACGGTCAATCGTTGGTAAAAGAGTAGCCCAAGAGTTGGCGGTGGGTGGTGATGACTAGCTGTCTTCCCTCTAGTCTTACACTGCTAAATTAGGGACGTCTAGTGCAGATAACCCTTGTGAAGCCTTGCTAGAAATTCAACAAAAATCAATATCTATGTATTTTTTCTTTTCTAAGATATAATGTCTGAGTGGTTGTATCCCTAATATTTGTAAATACTAGTTTATTCAGTCTCGAATCGTAAGTTTGAAGCTATATAATTAATAAGGAAATTAATTTAAAAGAAAACCCCTTTTGTAACGTAAACAGTACCTTCAGTATTGTTTGTTACGGATTTCGCGCTAAGCTACACGAGGGCTATCTGCGCTAGCCGTCCCTAATTTAGCGATGGAATACTAGAGGGAAGGCAGCTAGTCATCACCGCCAACTCTTGGGCTACTTTTTTACCAACGAATAGTGGAATTGATCGTAATATTATAACGCCCCACGGCTGAAAGGGCGAGTATGTTTGGTGTGACGGGGATTCGAACCCGCGACCCGCAGATTGGGAGTCGAGCTCCCTAACCACGTGGCCATGCCGGGCCTCTCTTCAGTAAGGAAGCACATTATGCTAAGTATAATAATAGGTAGGCAAACAACGATTTAAAGAGTTTTATTTATGTATCTACATCTTTGTTTATTATTATAAAAATAGTCTACAAACTGATTAAACGCCACCAAATTGTTTTTCTTACTCTATCTGATATTGAAATAATATGTTTTGGAAAACTGGAAATAAAGTCATATTGATGGCATTTATATAACAAATTAATATTTTCAATTTTAAGTAGAGATATAGAATTCACACTTCAGGTGAACTTGTATCTTACATCAAAAGGATTTGTTCAGGACTTGGTAATTCTCTTCCCAAACAATAGTGTTCGAATATATTTAAGATGTAAATACGAAAAAAAAAATCGTAAGTAGACATTCTTAATAAATAAATATAGATGTTCATGACCATACAACATGATAATTTTTGAAATGCTTTTATTTAACATTATAAGTTGACAAACAATTTCCCGCCTCCAAAGAAGAAGAATAGATTTGAGCGACATCTATATTTACTTAGTTCAGTTGACAGTTTATTATCTCAAGACGAAAGGTTCTGGTTTAATGAGTTCCATTAACTGCATGCGCTGTAAAAAAAAATAAGAAGGTTGAAAAACTAGACATGTTTTCACTATACAGGAAATAAGATGGTAGAAAATAAAACACTCTTCAATACTCGATGAAAATATACTAACAATTAACGACATATTGTTTCTGTCACTTTTAAGAAATAAAACAAAATTTGGGTGTAAAATAAATGCTTCAAATTTCGTGAACCAAAATTTTGTTTTATTTTTATAGCATTGTTAAATATTTATTCTATAGTTACGATCATCCTGAAATACAGGAAATTATCATCATTGTTCTAATAACTTCAGAACACGTTTTTTAAGGTACTTTACTTTTGAATTTGATGTTAGAAACATGCACATCTACTCCTCAAGCGGGTCTTCAATAAAACAGAAAATGGTTATCGTTCTTTTACAATCTAATGAATAACAGCAAAATAAATCTGAACAATCTGTTTGTTAAATAAACAGCCAAACAATGAACAGTCTGTGCTATGTCACAGCAGATATCAAACTTGTTAAAATGTTTCCAAATAATGTACTCCAACGTTTCACTACTAAAGTTGTTGTTGTTTTAATTCAAAGAAGCGAACTTTAGTTTTAAATGTTTATTTCTGATAAAATAAAAATCCTTACCGAACGAGTAATTGTCTCAATACATGCCTTTTTTTCTGTAATTTTTCGACGCCAGCCACAACCTACCTAACCGCCTGCCTTTTCGACATCGGCATCTCCGTCTCTTCTTGTCTTTACGTTTTCTATTACAACCCTTGGACTTTTTGTCATCATCATCCTCATTTGAATCCTCCTCATGACCTTCATCATCTGTAACGTAATTCATGAAACAGTTTATCAATCATTGGTTTGAAGGATAAACCTCTTTATTAAAAGCTTTACAAAAATACATCAAGCTTAGTTGAAAGTAACTGTAACTTAAAACCTGAACGGTCTTTGTTCACTTTTTCGCAAAGGTGTAGAGCAGAGGAACTAAGGGCGCTGTGTACGTCACGTGTATCGAAACCCGGATTCTAGCGTTGTAAGTCCGCAAACATACCGCTGTGCCACTGGGGAGCCCCAAATGTGAAGATTAATAAAATTTTGATGCTTCAACTGTGATTTACCTTCCATTGTTC